CTGTCAGTGCCCTGCTGTTCCTGTGAGGCCTCTCCCAGCCCTCAGCTCCAGCCTGGAGTGTCTGTCAGTCCTGGAGCTGCAGCCGCACATCCAGCTGTGCTCATAGCTGAGCTTGCTCCAAGCTCTGTCCTCATTCACAGCTGCTCATCACAGCACGGGCACTGTTCTGCACTTGCAGGACTTCACTTTGCTTCCCATGGCTCAGGGAGCCCAAAGGATTTGGGCATTTCACTCTGCATTGTGCTGCTACCATCCAGCTAGGCTCTGACAGACAAGCACTGGCAAAACTTGTGCTGCTGCTGGTGCAGCACCCACTCTCACCCTTCTGTATTGTTATTAAAGTAAATAACCAGAGACACCATAATTTCTCTGAAGTGGCTTTAGGCTACAGCCTTTTGTCCCAGTAGGGCTTGCCAGCTGGCAGCCAGCAGCTGGTGGCAGGCTGAGCTGCCCTTTCATATGGGCAAGGTGAGTTTTTGAGGATCTCAGAGTTGGGAGCACAGCTTGACACAGCAACGCCTTCCAGTACTGGGCAGGCTGGCAAGCCAGACCATGGGCACCCCAAAAGCTCCAGAGCAGTGCTGGCTGGTGCAGGTCCCTGCTTGCAGCATGAGGGCAGGGGCTTCAACCTCCTCCCATGGATGATGGGCTGCAGGAGGACCCTGCAGGTGGACTGAGCTGTTTCCCACTGAATGCAGAGCAGCACCAAGCTGCCAAATGGCCACGTGAAGCTATTTATGAAAATGCTGAGTGAAAGACATAAAAGGGTTCTTTAACCAGACTGCCTTACAAGCAATGAAAACTCTGTGTGGCAATGAGGGAAGCGAACCCCACCAAGGTTTTTTTTGCTGAGATGTGCAGGACTCTCCTGTCTGGAGCAGGGTTGTCCTGCACAGCGTTCCTCCACACACCATGAGGCTCTTCACAAAGGCAGGGGCTGCCCAAATCAGACCCTGGGCCCTGGGGAGAGCCTCTGCTGGTTTGCTCACATGTGAAGCACATGAGGGGTATCTGGAGGCACTTCAGCCATGTGTTGCACTGCAGCAAGTAATGTAAGGAGCTGATGTGCAGGGACTGTAATGCCTTGGGAGGCTTGGGAAAAAGTCTCCCTCATGTTTTCAGAAATGATGATATGTGTTCTATCCATCCACTCCCCATCAAATGCTGTCAAAACTTCTGCCTGCACATCTCTGTTCTTCCACATCCATCCTCCACCACAACCCACTGGCCACCAGCCTTTGTCACAAGTAGACTTTTGCTTTCTTTTCTTCTTTTAAATGTGAAGCTGTTGACAACCAACTTTCTGTCTGAAAGGCAAATGGTGACTCACAGCCCTTCCCACCTCTGCATCCAGGAGAGAGCTGCTCCCTTGGCATGGCACTCTGCAAACAAACCACAGGAGATGGAGAGAGATCCCATCATTCTATCAACACATTCTCTCTCCAGGAAATTTAAGGCTTCCAGCTGTTTTAGAAAAATGGGCATTTTTATTAGCAAATTCTCTTGTCCTGGAAGCAACTCTTCATTTGCAGCTTCACATTCATCAGCAATGTCCCTGACGTGCAAAACCATCATAAACTGCACCAAACTCCATGGTGCTCTGGGCCATCACCTTCCCAGCCCATGCTGCACCAGAACTGCAGCTTCCCCTTTCCTTTCCCCTTCCTTCTTCTTGGTTTTCAGTCTCACCACAGTCCTACACTTTATTTTATAGACAAGCAGACTTTCCCTGGATGGAAGAGAGGGAAAGGCACATCTGGACTCAGGATGGGGGGGTCTTCATAAGTTGTATAAATCAGGGGAGGCAGGAACAGACAAATTTGCATCAGGTCTTTTATCACTCTGACCACATTCCCACTGGAGAAGGTAAAGTGTGTGAGGACACACAGCCCAAATGATGCTGTACCATATGAGCTGGATCCCTGTGTGGGGAGAAGAGGCAACAGAGAACAGTTGATATGGCTGGCTAAGGCCATCTAAAAGGCTGACCTTTTATTTAATTTTTATATTTCTGTGTTACTGCCTGCCTTTATTTCCTTGCTGCCTTTCAAAATCAAAACACCAATTGTTTCCTGCTGAATTAGCCCTCATTAGAGCACTGGAACCACCACAGTAGCAAGGGTCTGTCCAAGGAGGGTTTGCTGAGGAATGCTGTCCTGCCATGTTGTCCTGGCAGGGACGAGTCTCCTGGCCAAAGGAACATCTGCTTTGTGCCCTAGAGGTACCCCAGACACAGGGAAATGTGAGTGAACCTGCACATCTTCCACTCACACTCTGCCTTCCTGCAGCTCCTCAGGAGAGAGGAGGGCAGCTTCTGCATTTACCTGCTGGGTCATTGAGGGAGACAGAGCACCTCTGATCCTGTGGCTGTCATTCCACACCTCCTGGTGCTTGCTGCTGAGAGAAGGACTGAAGCAGCTGCCTCCACCCAGTCACTGCACAGGGCATCTTAGGTGTTTAGAAAGCACCAAGGGCTGTGCTCTGGAAGTGCCTGTTGAATCCTGTATTTTCCTAGCCTCTTGGTTAAATCTGCCAGGAGAGAATTAAATGAGGCAAGGAATCTTCTAAGGCATTTATGTTGCGCTTTGCCCTTCTGTATATTACAAATTGCACATTTTGGGACAGGAGTTAGCATGTCAGATTGCTTTTCCAAATAATTATGCATGATACGCTCCCTCAGCCAGCCTCTGGTGACTCAGCAGGAGGTAAAGCTTTGAATAGGAAGGAAAAAATCTCTCAGACACATTTCTATGGGCTCTGTGCAGCCACCAAACAAACATCAAGTCTGGCCTTTTTGTACTGCTGTCTGGCTGCTGAATCCCACATCAGATGCAAGGAAGGGAGGTTTGTGACAAAGAAAGCTGCAGAAGATAGTCTGCTTTGGAGGGAAGAGGGGATTTTAGTGGTTTTGGTGCTGTCTCCTATTCCTTGCTTTGCTTTGCTGTTCTGAACCACCAGGTCCACCAAAATGACCTGCAGAGAGGGAAAATAATCTTCTTGAGGGTAGGGCAAAACTTTACAGCTGGGTTTGTGGTGCGATGTTGTGTACTGAGGACGGCCCCGCTGAAGAAGAGCCCCAGCAATGGGGACTGTCCCCCTCCCGTTCTCTCCCCGTGCTGTGACCGAGGGGCTGGGAAGGGACAGATCCCAGTGAGCACCAGGAGTCCCAGCTGTGCTGCTGGAGCTGGCAGTGGGGCTGGCACAAAGCTGCAGCAGGGGAGTGCCCACCCAGCCACCTGGCTTTTGTTTTGGAGCCTGGCTGGGGAGCAGTGGGGTTCATGTTTAATTAAGCAGTGCCTCAGAGAAAAAAGAGCCACGGAGAATCTTGCTATCAGACGTGATTTCACAGGAGCCTGAGAGCATGACCTCTTTTTAAGCATCTTTATTTTTGCCTGGCTAATGAGCAGGTTTCCTCACAGAAAAGCAGATTCCCAATGGGAGGGATTGCAATATAATCCCTTGGCTCTGGCAGCAGTGCTGAAAGGGGGTGGCAGAGGCTCAGGCACGCAGACCCAGCGGGTCTCATCCTGCCTTGGGGTCATGAAGCCTGATGGCTTTTCCAACCCATCCTTCTCTCACAAGGAGAGGTCAGGGCCACCAGGCCCCAGCCCACAGAGCCATGACATGCCCACGAACATCCCCTGTCTGTCCTGTGTCCCCACTGTGTCCCCACCAGAGCCCCAGTACTGGAGAAGTGGTCACCAGGTGTGGCAGCTGCACTAGGAGAGTGCAGGTGGAGTTACAGATTTCCATAGGAAACCAGAGCAACAAATTGTTAGGAAAGCAAATAATCCAACACAAATCCTTCTCCTTTATTCAGTAATGGCACACAGGCACAGAACAGCAGTGGGGCCAAATCTCTGCAAGTTTGGATGCACAAATCCCTTTTCTTACTAATGGGAGCAAAGTGACAAATGTGAGCTATGACACCTCTGGTTACAAGACCCCATTCCCTTGATCAACAGGAAAATCCAGTCTAAGGACTCTTAATATGGGAGGATCAAGAGCCAACTGAGATATAGGAGACGGGGAAAAATGCAATGCTTGAGAGAAAAAAAATCCTGCTTAATTAATATCTTTTTCTTATATGGAAAACTGTATACTTGGAGAAGAAATGTAGAAGAAACATTCTTGTAAATTAGTTTTGCTCAGAGTGAACAGTGAAGGTTAGAGAAATGTTTAACACGACATGACTGCTGCCATTCTCAGCTCTTCAAAATACTTTCAATAACTAAAATATTTCAAATGAAGGTCTTTTATTTCAAACCTGCATGGTATCAAGCAATTAAAATGCTTACAGACTCTCAGCTTCAATACCTAATTTAATGATGGTTTTGGCTGCTTTGTGTCAGCTGCCTCACAGACACTATGGAGAGAGAGAGAGCAAATGTTAATTTTTCAAGCTTTTGCTCTATTCTCTTAAATTTGTTGATATCTTGTGGTAGGGTACAGCCTTCTTTCTTACTTAAAAAACAGCTAGATGGCCCCTTTTAATTTTTCAGCATTTTCCTTTCCTTAAGTTAGAAATATATTAGTAGGCAACACATGTACAAGTAAGTACCTAGCATATAGTGGTCATGCCTCTCATAGTTTGAAAATAAAAACTGAAACTCAGCTTTGTAAATGCATCCATCAGCTCCTCTGTTGAGCTAACTGCATAAATCATATTTTCACCCGAAAAGAATTAAAAACTCAATAATTCTTATAAGCAGCATAACTACTGAAATTATTTGAATTTCCTAAATTTGATGGGTTTTCAAAAAAAATATTTTCCTCCTTAAGCCTTTAAAACTTCCAGAGATTTTCCATGTCTAGGCAGAACAAGATTTCCCTGTCAGACCCCTGGCATCACATATTCACACACGCCACCCATCTTTAGCCCTGATGTCCCCAAACCAGCCCTGCTCCTGAAGCCAGGGGAGCGTTTTGTCTGCCTTCCCCCAGGGCCTCCACTCACCCTGCCCACCTCTTCACCACCACCTCCCTCCATCCCCAGGCACCTTGGGAAGGGGTTTGGTGTCAGCAGGAGATGCTGGCTGCTCTCCTCTCCCATGAAATCCAGCTGGAAAGCAGGATCCACAGACCTGCTGAGAAATGCCAGTTTTGTGGGAGGGTTAAAAGGGGCTAGCTCCCTCCAACCAGCTGTACTGCAGGCTTTTTGGATAAAACACAGTCACCCTGGGGAGCTGTTTTGCAAAATTTTAGTTGAAGAGACTGTATTGCAGTGAATGCTGTGCCTTCCCCAGTAAAGGATTGGAAAGTCATCCTCGTTTCCATGGATACCCTGTAACAGGACTGAAAACAAAGCTGTACTTTTTGATATGGCTCCCTGAGCCTCCCTGTCTGTCCTTATGCACAGGGGAGGGACAAACAGCCTCTGCAGCATGAGGGGGTCATGTCCACATGGAAATATCCACACTTGTGGCTGAGCAGGGCTGGAAACTTTGTCAAGGCATCTGCCTTTTGCATGGAAACCCCAAGGAGGCTGAGCAGTGCAGGGCTGGTTCTCCCCTCCCAATTAAATCTAGCTGAGTCCATGTTTTATATATGACCTTGAGGAGCTATTTGATCAAATAGATTTTATTTCATTTCTCCATGAATGTCAGCATTACAGGGCATGCTGAAAAAAAACCACAGCAAACATAAAGAAAATAGATAACACTTTGTGGGCATCACATAACTGGTGATATTCACTCTGCTGACAGTGACATAAATCTGCAACAGCTGGGCTCTGGGTTGTGGTGAAATGGGGCTGCAGGCACAACCACATGGCCCCAAAGCACTTGTGAGTACAGCTCAGTTCTGAGCTTCTCCTTCCAGCAGAGATGCAGAAATCCAGCTCCTTACCCACTGGAAAGGGCTGAGGTCCAGCATTCCCAGCTTTACACACCCCTGTGCTTGTTCATTCCCAGTTCCCAAGCACAATGCCCACTTTTAAGAAACCACACTCTGCTCTGTGCCTGGCTGCTTGCTGCTCTTTCTTGTCCTTCAAGAAGATGCAGAGGATCAAGAAGATGTTCCACCTGACTTGCTGCAACCTTGATGCTGATGAGTACAGTTAAGGCAAACCATTTCACAGACAGTCACATCTCATTATTCACCAATGTGTCTCTCATGGAAGTGCCCACAGAGCTGTAGAAGTCCTGTGTGTCAGCTGCTGGCCAAGGCAGAGCTAAACCTGCTGGCACCCTACTCTTAGCACGTGCTGAGCCACAACACTGCCTCCCCAGTACTGCTGTATAGAAAAAGCACGGCAACCCTGATGAAGGGGATAAATGATGCATCTGGTTCCATTGATATCAGAAGGCTCATTAATTACTTTATTATATTATTCTATATTACACTGAATCTAAACTGAACCTGCACAAGCACTCAACTCCACTGCCCAGCAGCTCGTGGCTGTCAGCCAACAGCCCAACACACACACCTGGACTCAACTGGTCAGTGAATCAGAACACTCACACCAGAATCCAATTACCAATTCCCTTCAGGTAAACAATCTTCCACAATTCATTCCCCTTGTTCCAAAACACAGGAGCAGTAAATGAGATAAGAATTGTTTTTTCTTTCTCTGAGGTTCAGAGAATGTGAATCCCAGAAAATCTTTGGGAAGTTGTGCCTTGCTTTTCTCTGTGAAGAGAAATGCAGCCACACTGCTGTGCCTTGTCTTGGTCATCTGTGATGATATTTGGAAAATAAAATGAGAAAACATGGGGTATACTAATGTTAAAAACAGAGAGATGTCAATATTGGTGGTATGTGAGTATTTCAATAATCCTTGGAAGAAGCTATTTTGTTGTAAGGAGCTTTGGTTATTCTGTTGGATGGGAAGAAGCTTTGTGTGGATGTAGAAGGACCTGGTGGAGCTTGAGCCCTCGTTTCAGCCAGGGATTCTGTTCCAAGCTTGGCAGCCCACCCTAGGGCTCATCAGTCTCAGATTTTCAGTCTGAAAATCCCTCGGGAATTGGGAAGAACAGCAAGGACCAGAGCCCACAGCACAAACACCACACTGCTTTACCCCAGCGTTGGACCTGGACTCTCAGGAGGTCAAAACACTTAATGAGCAGAAGTCAGCACAAGGGAGGGAGACAGAGAGTTAACTGAATATTCAAGATAACAAGTGTAAAGTGTAGCTTGCTGAGATTTTCTTCCAATATTATCTCCTGTCATTTAGGAATTGTATGCACACACAGGCCTGCACGAGATACAAAGTGGTGGGAGGTGGGTTTGGCATGGGCTCCAACAGATGCATTACACACGGAGGGAAGAGGCACCAAGTCAGCTGCTCAGATCAGCCCTCACAAGTGCCAATAAAGTCTTTATACCATGCCATTAAGCATTCACTGTGCACCATCTGGACTGCAGGAAAGCTAATTTTGGAATGTTTTCAACACAGCACTTTATAATCTCTGGTGCATTAGTTTCCTAGTTACCTGCAGGGCAGTTTTGCAGGATTCAGAGAGAAATGGTAAAAGACACAAACACACTCCGTCTGCAGCTGGGTGGTTTTAAGTCCTCCATCCTGGACTCACACAACCCCTAAGGTCTCTATCACTGGGAAGTTGCAGAGTGCCCCAGCCCCAGTGGATAAGCTCTCCTTTTCCAGCCAAATATTGGAATTCCTTTCTTAGTACTTTTTCACACATAGCTGATGTTAGCCAAACCTTCCTGACCAGTAACAATGGAGACAGAGACCAGAATCCTAAATGACAGAGTGGAGGAGGACGAGGAGGAGGAGGAGGAGGAGGAGGAGGAGGAGGAGGAGGAAGAAGCCAGCAGGTGGACAGGGCTGTCTGTGCAATCAGTGTCTCTTTGGACTGGTTTGGGGTTCCCCAGGCTCCAGTGGTTTCCTGGCTGCAGTAGGCAGTGCTATTTGCTCCTGCCTGCCTGGGCATGGTCCCTCTCTCCAGGCATGCAGCCTGCACTGCCCCACACCGGCACCACGGGTCACCCTCTGCCTCCCCTCTGGATGGAGGGAGGCTGCTGGGACAGCTGAGCAGCCCGTGTGGTTTGGATCTGCTCTTCCAGCCTGAAAACAGGTGTTTTCCTTTCCTCCCTCTGAGCACAGGGGAGCCCTGCAAGGAGCCCCAGTGCTCTGCTTCCCTGCAGGACACTCAGTCTCAGATCTGCAGGCAGGAGCCCTCCAGCCCTAGCTCTGCTTTTGTGATCAGAAAAACTCTGGTTAACCCACCTGATTTATCCCTGCTCAGGCCAGGTAGATTAATGCTTTCCTTAGGTTCTTGTCTGCAGCTTTTAATAGCTAAAGGCATCTGGCTGCTCTTCTGCTGGCTTGGACCCATTGCTACCTTAGTGAGATCTGCAGTTTCATGGAACCTTCCCCTCCCCAGGATGGGCATTAACACCTGCAGAGCCATAGCTGTGCACATAGGCACCCACACATCTTTTGGGGAAAAAACCACCTGAAAATAGGGACTGCACATATAAAATGGTCACATCTCACATATTAAGTGGGTTTACTAACCAATAACATTTTGAATAAAAATTTCTTGCGTTTAACAAAATTTTCTATATATTTTCACAGTAGTGGAAAGAGTTGTCAAGCTAAAATGTTATGCCTTTCTCTTTTTCTAGCTTCTTTGCAACAGTGTATTTGCCTTTTTTCACTTCACATGAAAGTAAGGAAGCCCAAATCTGGCTTTAGTTAAGGAAGGCTTGGGATTTTTATCCAGCTCTGAGGTGTTGTTTTGTGCTGGCTTCTCCTTGGAAAGACTCAGCTCCTCCCTTCCACCTCAGAGACTTCTTTCATTTTTAGGCATAGAAAAACCTTCACAACGTGCTTGGCTGCTGTCAGTGCCACAGGTGTGTCCTTTTTGGCACACCAGTGTGAGGGCAGGAGGGAGATTTTGCCCTCTGCGCTGGTGTAGAGGGCAGGTACATGGAGAACACTCTGTCCCTGAGGTGGGGATCTGGGGGAGCACCCTGCATAGCCACAGCCTACCCTTGTCCCTGGTTGTTGAGGTGGTATCTCCATTCCAAAAGCTGGTGCAGTGATATGAATCCCTCGAGTGCATATGTGTGAGTAAATATAAAAATAAACTGAAATAAGGAAGCAGCAATATGAGTCAATAAGTTGTCTCCTATTAGAATTGCTCCCATCCTAGTGTTATGATTAAATCATGGATAAGTCAAAATCAACTGCTCATAAGATGTAACATCCACCTTCATCTGTGGATTCCCCTTTTACCTGCACAGGCACTGATCCCCTTGGCTGGGTACAGCACTGGAAGAAGATGTGCTGCATTCTTTCTCAGGCATGGACAGGTTCATGTCCACACTGGGGAAAGCTGGGGGAAAGTCCTGTATTGAGGGCTGGTTGACAATATCTTGAGAGTTTCCCAATTCAGTTAATCAGAAATTTCATTATAGCATCCAGGGTTTGAGCAACCATCCCAGACTGCAAGATGTTCTTCAAGAGAGGAGGTGCAGCTTTATCATTTTAATGATGGCAAAGATAACCTCCACTTTCCTCTGCACTAAACCCCCATAGGTCACCCCAGCCCTTTTCTACCTGACTCAAAACACACTCACACCCACTCAGTCCCTACCCAGTACCAGCCACATCCCTGTGCACACATCTCTGTGATTTCCAGATCTGAATAATTTTATGGGTCTCCCTGGTACTTTTCCTGCTTTTCCCTTCCCCTTGGAAATTGCAAAAGGGAAATCAGAAGCAGGAAACTGTCAGTTAGCATTGCTAAAAAAATAGCCTAACAAGGCTATCATCAGCTGGAAATGAGATGCTTCCCATACCAGCAGCTGCAGGCTACTGGGGATACAAATGTTTGTATCAGTGTTCTCAATGGTAAATTATGCTGGTCCTCACCTGGTGTGGGTTTAAGGGGAAGGGTCTCTGCTGCCCTGAGACTTGCTGGGGTCTGTGGTCATTGGATGCCCCTTTTCCTCCAAAACTGCAACTGCAAAACCACCCAGAAGATGATAACCACAGCAGAAAAAGCAGGGAGACATCATGCAGAAAGTTTGCCCATGAGGGAAACTGCAAGGGAGCATAGAGTTTTACTAAGAAAACTTGGTATGGCAAAAGATGGGAGAAAAAGTCTCTTTCTCACTGTTGCAAGAAGTCCTACTGTTAGTTGTTTCATCTTGGTCCTCCTCCTACCCAAATCTCATCTTTTGCTTAGACAAGGTAGGTATAAACAGCTCTTTCACAGCCAGCA